TTCTAAATGGCCAGATATAAATATTTTAGGCTTTATGTCTCCTACATCCTGTCACAGCTACTCCCTTGTACCACTGGAGGACAAAAGCAGCCTGGGATGAGATGTGAAGGAATGGGCGTGGCTGCATCCAGAAGTTTATAAAAATAGCAGGCCCACCGTACCCTGATCTAGACAATGGTGCGCAGTCGTGTACTGCTGAGAAAACAACCCTGAGGTGTCTTAAAAGGTTATTATTCTGCACATTCATTGTACGTTTACCATATGGCTGTTCAGGTTTATCCTTTCGGGGTTTGTGGGAGTCCATGCCCCGAACAGGCGTCAGCACGTGGTCGGCCCCAAATACTTATTAAACGTGAGGCTTTCTGGTGCCAAATCCACTGCACTGCCGCCCCTGCCCGCACACGGTCTGTCTTCACTTTGATCTTGAAATAAATGGTGTTTTGAACCTTGACAGGAGGTGTCCCTCCAGGACGTCCGCAAAGAAATCAGCTTCTGCCACAAGGTGAAGCTGCCCATCATCGGAGTGGTGGAGAACATGAGTGTCTTCGTCTGCCCCAAGTGCAAGGTGGGAGTGCGGCGGCCCAGGCCTGGCCGCCCAGGCCCTTCCTCGTAGTGGTGGAGGAGAGCCCGGGACATGGTTTCTGTGTCACAGTTTCTGCTTTCCCCCTCATTTTGGGAAGTGGGATCACACCCACACAAAATACTGCTGATTTAAGGAAAACTCTGCTGGGGTGGTTACTGTTTCATATTCAAACAGCCATTTTTTAAAGTTGCTTTAAAATGTCCAGTTTTAATTCTGAAAACAAAGTCCTAACTCTTCCCTTTTAACTTGTCTCATAGAAAGAGTCTCAGATATTCCCACCAACGACTGGGGGCGCGGAGGTCTTGTGCCAGGATCTGAAGATCCCTCTCCTCGGAAAAGTGCCTCTGGACCCACACATAGGTGGGTGAGTCTGAGCGCCGATCTCAACTTTGTGTCGCCAAGCAGGGTGTTCACACCCCGCGCGGCCGCGACCGTGGACGGTGGGGCCACAGATGAAGGGCCCGCTCTCAGGTGCTCACCTCCAGGCGAGGGAAACCGTAGGCCGCGTGGGTGTGTAGTCAGAGCGAGTAAACCTCTGGGTCACGAGGGGGCCGTGTGGGGCCTGGAACATGGGTCACGACTGTCTGCAAGATGCTGGGAGGCCATGGGAGAGGAATTCACCCAAGGCGAGGGGGCCGGAGGAGGACTGGGCAGGGGTATGCTGGGCGGTCCCGTCTCAGGAATTAGGTTCTGAGGTGAAAGTCCTGAACACAGTTAGCCTGGAAAACCCCTTAGGAAGACTTTCTGCCTCTTGGGAGGTCCAGCACAGCACTGAGGGCCCTGTCTCTCAGCACTAGGTGAGGGTGTTGGTCTGCCTTCAGGGGCTATGTTACATGAAAAATGCCCCCTTTTTAAAAAGATTATTTTAATGTTTATTCTTGAGATACAGAGACAGAGCAAGAGTGGGGGAGGTTCAGAGAGAGAGGGAGACACAGAATCCGAAGCAGGCTCCAGGTTGCGAGCTGTCAGCACAGAACCTGACGCGGGGCTCCAACTCACAGACCGCGAGATCGTGACCTGAGTTCAAGTGGGACACTTAACCCACTTGAGCCACCATGTGCCCCCAAATGCCCCGTTTTTAATGCCAGAGTCCCGCACATCCCCTCTAGACAACCCCGTGAGCGGCAGTGAGCCTGGAGGAGGGAATGGTGGACCCCATCCCCATTGTGTGTTCACTGTTGCTAAGTGGCATGGTGGGGAGGGCAGTCCACACCTTTTAAGTTATACCTGCCTCCACATTTGTTTCCCGGGGACCACAGAGTTGAACTTGGGTATGTCGGCCGTGCCTGTGACGTGCAGAAGCGGTGGGGTGGGAGCACGAGCAGAGGGGCCTGGGCCTGCAGGAAGCCAAGGGGCGAAGGCTGGAAGGCAGGCTGGAGCCCAGCTGTGGACAGCTTTGCAGCCAAGCTTGGCCGCTGGGCCTTCAGCAGTTGGGAAATGAGAATCAGACCCTGAGCCAGGGCACAGGGGCGAGTGCTGAGAGGGAGACCTGCAGGCGGCTCTGCAGGGGAGTGGGGAGGAGGGTAGGACTTGCCCGGGGCTGGGCGTTGCCATGTAGAGGAAGGGACGTGCAGGAGGGGGAAGGGGACAGGACTTGATGGTTGGGGAGAAAGTTGGCTGAGGTCCCAGCCATCTAGGAGCTGGGGCCGATGGGCAGCCATGACCATGGGAGACATGGGTGGGGGGAGGGCCAGCTTCCTACTCCTGTGCTGCTTCTTAGAGGCAGGGGAGGCTTGAGGGTTGGCAGTAGGCTGGGGAGCTGTGTGGGCCACGCCCAGGCAGGCCAGATTGTTGGGGGGCTGGAGGGAGGTGGGGCCGAGAGCACGGGGTGGAGGGTGAGTGCGGGGCTGCCCCAGGACTGCGTGCCTCTCTGGAACCCTGGGGCCCAGGAGAATATCCCGGGAGCCTTTGCTCCCCCTTGAGAAGCACTCTGCGCTGGGGGCCCCCCAGGTACCACAGGAAATCCCAGCTGTTCTTTTAGGGAGGGGCAAACACCCAGGGAGATTAACCCCTTTGCGCCGACCGAAGGGTGATGCTGAGTTCTCCCTTTTCCCTTGGGTGGTCAGAGCACAGGTCTCCTGCTAAAGGTCCCCAGCGGCAGCTGGAGCACAGGGGCGCTGCTGAGGGACAGGCTCGGCAGTGGCTCCGGGCGCACCCACTGCTGTGAGCCTGTACCCTAGCTGGAGTCCGGGTCCCTCAGATCCCTATGATAGGATGGGAGAGGCCCGGAAGAGCCTGTCCAGGCTCGGGGAGCCCCAAGCCAGTGTGCAGGTCCCAGCCCCTGTGAGGGAGACAGGCAGGGAGGCAGCTGCCCTCCTGCCTGACTCCGTCCACTAGTCACAAAGAAGCAAAGTTCTAGCACTTTACAAGAGCTGCTAGCAGAGGCCCCCGGGGGCGGCTGCGGCTCAGTCTGAAGCTAAGAGAATGAAGTGTCTTCTAGGGAGCAGTCCCGTGTGACGTTACATGTCCCCGAGCCTCATTTGTCGTTGAAATCACGAGACCAGCGAGGAAAGGGGGTTAGCACGTTCGTACAGTGGAAAGGAGGACAAGGCAGTGAGGGCACTGTGACCCTCGGGAACTCTTTTGTCCAGCGGGAGCCAAGGTGGATGCCCGGACACAGACAGGAAGGGATGAAGCGTGCGCTCCAGCCTGGGTGGGAGCCCTGGGGCAGGAGGTAAGGCCACCTCACTCGCCCTGGGGTTCTCAGCCCCTCCCCGGCCTCAGAGTCCTGCTTCTCCCCCCGCTGGCTGGAGGCTCCAAGTCCTGACAGCTGCATCTGTAAGAGGGGGTGATAACAATGCCCCCCATCCCTGCCGGGGGGCTGCTGCTGCATCCATGTCCCCAGAGGACACCAGAAAGCCTCAGCAACAAGCTCTTCTGACAGGACTGTTCTTGGAGCACAGTCAGGAAAGGGGAGCCTTGAAAATGGGGAATGAACCAGGGTACCTTTGGAAGAGGAGGGCCTCCTGGGGAAGGGAAGACTTGGGAACATCGTGGCCATCACGGGACTCTGCTGGGATTCCCCAGACCTAGTCTAGCTACCACATTTCTGCCATGGTCCCCGGGTAGCCCGGGCTCATCTGGGCTCCACCTCTGCCAACCCCCTCTCCTCTTGGATGCTCCCTGCAACCCCCCCCCCACCTCGGTTTCCCTGGCCCTGTGCCCAAGTGCGAGGGGAAGTGAGGAAGGGATAGTTCAGCACTTGGCCTTGCCACGGCCCACCTAAGATTGGGGGAGCAGAACCACCGACCTGCTTCTCCAGCAGTGCTGGGTAGGCTGATGGGGTTCTGCCCAGGATAGGGGGAGAAAAGAGCACCTGCCTGCCAGGGTCTCCGACCACTGCCAGAGGTCCCTGCACCGTGGCACCTGGATCCTAGGACCCCACTGTGTGTCCTTGGGAGGGGGCCGGGAAAGCCCAGCAGACAGGTGGCCGCTGCCGTGGAAAACGCACCGGGTGGAACCCACATCTTGTACACTCCTGTTCATTTTGTGTGTTTCTCAGCTTTGCTCTTGTCTGGTGAGGCTCAAGGCCTTCCTAAGGTCACATGACCAGAAAGAACCCCCAGTTTGTGTGGCCACTGTCTTCACCGATGTTTTTTCATTTATCTCAAGGTAAGAGTTGTGACAAAGGACAGTCTTTTTTGATTGATGCACCGGATTCCCCAGCTGCTTTAGCCTACAGAGGTATCATTCAAAGTACGTGTGCGTGTGAGTCCCGGGAACTCAGAGGGCTGTGGGGCTGAGTGGGAGAAGATCCTGTCTAGAGTCATCTGTGGAGCATCAGGGTCACTGCCATGCAGCCTCAGGTGGGGACGGGAGGGCTAGTAGGGGCTGGGATGACCCTCAGCCCAGGAAGCCAGGCGTCTGTGAGAAACTGGTTAAAGGAAAAAAAAAACAAACCTGTGCCGACCTGACTACATTGGTGGGCGGCCATTGGAAGCCTGGATTTCAGGGGGGCTGGGAGGGGTCAGTGGTTAAAGCTTATAGGCTCATGGCGCACGGTGGAGTTCCTTTTACCTACGAAGATGGTGTCCGGGGCCAATACCAGCATTCCCAGGATTCTTGATCTGTGGAATGAGCCGATGGGAGACAGGGCAGCAGCAGAACAGGGCTGTTTTGGGAGTTAGGCCGTCTGGGGGTTCAGCCCTCACCAGCACAGGCACGGCTGCCAGAGGCACTGCCTCCTCGTCACTGCTTCTGTGTCTCGTGTTCCAGAAATCCAGGAGTTCTGTGGTCTCCATCAGCCAAAAGAAGAGCACCTCATCAGCTCCTGAAACACAAGAGAAGACTCAAGACGCAAGCCACACTTGCACTCCAGCCTGAGCAGCGTGGGGACAAAGTGGGGTCACAGGCAGAAAGGGACCAGACTCTGGTATGGCGTGAAGTCATTTTCTTAGAGATGCTTGAGTCATAGGATTTGTATACTTTTCAACACACATAAAGGCATTCTTTACAAACACGCCTCTTAAAAATAAGAACCTCAAACCTCTCCCCCAAGGCCTGCTTCCAGGAAAGAGCCAACGGCTTACTGGTCGGGGAACTCTCTGCTGGAAGCTTGTGCAGTTATAGAACTTCTCCCTCAAGACACTGCTGCCTCAGAAGATAAGCCTAAAAAAGAACCCCGGTGATGGATGTGTGGCTTCACTGCAAAACCCAGTCATGGCTTCAAGTAGCACAGTCCAAACGCTGCTTCAGAATGAGGGAAAAATTAGTCCCCAGAAGCCCTTGAAAAGCTCTTAAATCACCCATGGAAACAGAAGAGGTCATCTGTGTCTCTACCTAGTGCACACTATATCCTGTAATTTCCAGCATCCTGTAAGAGAGCTTATAGGGTTTTTGGTTTTTTTTAATTACATAAAAGGAGACACCCATGTAAACTCTAGAATTCTCTTCATTGCCAGGAGACGTGCAGGAATGGACACTGAGGGAAGAGTAAATTCCCGTTTCCCATCTCTCTCGGGGCGTGGGCAGACAGATGGGCAAATCCCTCGTTCTCTCCCTCTCTTTCTCTCATTTCCTGCCCCCTCCCTTCATGCCTGCACATATGGTTGATTTCGTATGTGTTCAGTGTGAGGAAAGGGCAGGGGGGAGGCCTGCAAAACCCAGAGGACACAGGCCGGCTCGCCCCTGGCTCTGTGCCCAGGCCCCCACCTTGATCCCACCTCTTACCTAATGCTTGTGAATCTCCAGCCCCTTGAGGCCAGGCTTCTGGAAGTCCCTTGGGCTGGCCTGCAAGGGGAAAAGTCAGCTGTGGCTTTGTCCTCACAAGTGAGGGGCCTGATTCTGCTGATTCAGGGGCCAGAGCAAACCCACGATGTAACCAAAAGCCCACAGAGCTCATCGCTCAATGTCTTGGTCTAAAGCAGCCCTGGTCAGATTTTACGATGGTTCAACCAGTTGTAAGAAGAGCCTGGTCAAATTTCAAAGGTTACTCTCACGTGTAGAAATATATGCAAAGTTAAAAAATATTTTTGGGGGGTACTGACAGGGTAGCTTGGTTGATACAGAAAATGTTAAAATTGCATTGGCTAGCGGGCCTCCTTCCCTTTCGGCGTCTGGAGTGCAGGGGTCTGGGAGGAAGACTCTAGTAACTCACCGTCTGGAACACCATCTGGGACAGAAAACTGGCTGTGATTTTGCCGATGTCCCTCTCACCTCCCATCTTACAAAGGATGTAGCCATAGAGGTTAGCAGCTTGGAGAGAAATCCCAGCTATCACAAGGGCCTGCGCTCAGACAAAGCAAATTCTTTTAAGAGCATATATTGAACCCCACCCACCCCCTCCCCCCAAACCACATAGAAGCAACTCTGGCCTGTACCTAGTCACAGCCAACCTTCTCTGAGCACTCGCCGATCATCATAGGTACCTTGTCAACAACCCAAGAGGTTGGTGCCGTTATCATCCCATTTTACAGGGAAGAAAGTGAAGCCCAGAGAACCAAAGTTGCCCACAGTCCCAGAGCCGATGCAGGGCTGGACTGGCATCCAAACTCCAGAGCCCCTGCTTTTAATTATACTGCTGCTCCTACGGTCTGTGGGTATTTTGTTTTCCCAGTAAGTGAGGCAGATCACAGCACTGAGACGGTAAGAAAACTGAAATGAAACTTCATAACTCTGAGGTGAGCTTATTGCTACTGAGGAAGGGCTCCAGAGTAGGCTAGCACATGCTTTTGCTTTCAACTCCTTCCTCAGCATTATTCCTAGGCATCCAGAAGATCCAGCCCATGGCCATCGGTGGGGGAGTGGATAAAGCAAATGTAGCGTGGCGGTATAGGGGGCTATTACACAGCCATAGAAAAGGAAAGAAATACCGATAAATGCTGCAACACCGACGAACTTTGAAAATCCCATGTTAAGTGAGAGAAGATCACAAGCAATCATGTTCTAGAATTCTAGTTATAGGAAGTACCTGGAATAGGTGAGCCTATTGAAACAGAAGAACGAGGAGCAGGGCCAGGAGGGAGTGAGGGCTAAAAGGTACAGGGTTTCTTTCTGGGGGGATGAAACTACCCCCACTCTGGCTGTGGTGTTGACGGCACCACAGTGAATCCCCTGGAAACCCGGCGAATGGCACACGCTAATGGGTGAATGGCCCGGTACGTGAAGCATCTCGGTAAAGCGGTTTCCAACCAATTGGCAGAAGACAACGGAACCCGCTCGTGCCCCGTTGCGCGCAGATGGCGAAGCCACGCCAGGGCCAGGCGGTGCCTTACCAGCCACTCGAGCTTCAAGGAGAACAAGGTGCTGAAGAAGAACATGGTCCAAATCAGCGGGCAGATGACGAGGCCAAGCCAGAAGATGCGCGCCTCCGCTTCTGTGGCCGCGCTGCGCTGCGGGGACGCCTGCGGGGAGAGAGGGCCCCGTCTTCAACGGGAGCGCACTCCCGTTCTCGCTCTTTGCATGCGGCGGCCACCAGGCGCAGGGCCGATGGGGGCGGCAACCAGACCCGCACGGAGCCCAGAGGGGACCCGCGCAAACTTCCACAGCCACGTCCCGGCTGCGAGGCGGACCCATAGCGGACGGTACCTTTCTGGCCTCAAAAATCCAGCGGCCCTTCCCGTCTTCGTCTATGTGGTTCCACCAGCGGAGGCCCACCAGCAGTCTCCCGGTCACGTTCTGGGGGACATGGACAGAAGGACCCCGGGCACGCAGTAAAGAACAAGTCGTCTTTTCACTGACAGACAAAAGTCCGTTCGTGTTGAACTTGTCCCGGGAGTAGGGGGAGAGGGGAACTGAACCGTGGCAGGTTCTGAGAATCCGTGGGAGTCTCCTAATTTTCAACTCAGTTTACCTGTAAGTGACTCCCCCCCACCACCACACACACCCCCCCCCAAAAATATGTGGCATATTTTAAATGTATGCCAGGTTTGCCAAAAATCCAAAGCCAGGTGGAGCTGTCACTCGCATAAGACACGTCCTTGCAGCGATGACAACTGAGGACCAGAACCATCGTTCAGCTCTGAACAATGGGTTTTAACTTGAATTTCAAGTAATGTCGGCTCAGTATGTATTTGCAGTTTCAACGAAAGTACCTCTCGGCTCAAATCGGCCACGTGCAGCAGGAGGGTCACCATCTAGAAACACAGCCCTTGTGTTTCTGGATCGATGGCATCATGAGCGAAGGGGCCTTACCTTCACAGACCAGAAGTCAAAGGACAGGAGGAGAAGCACAGTGACAAAGCAGCCCACAAAGCTTCTGCTGAACCAGTCACAGCACACATAGGTGACGATGGCGCTCACTCGGAAAAACAGATGGAAAAAGGTGGCCAACGGGTGCCTAGGAAAGAACCCAGAAGCCCCCTCACTGCAAAGGCCAAGAGGGCAGTCACCGAGCTCACTCTGTGGGTTCTGACTTTCCGCGTTGTCCCCAGTGCACCGCGAGCCCGACTCAGGCCGCAGCTCTGCAAACGTCCCTAAGTCACAAGTTCTGAAACAGTCATTAGTATACTAGCATCTCTCCCCTCTCGAAGAATCCAGTACTTTCCCCTAACTCGATTTCAAAGATCACTTGCCTTCTTCGAAACTTGGGTACCTCTGAAGTGAAACAGGACAGTGGTCACTGCCTCCCCACCTGGCAGTGATAAGGACCAGTTCCCTAAAGGTAAAGGTTGGGTTATTCCACCAGTAACAGAGCAGTCCACGTGCAGCCCATGGGTGCAGTCTCGTGTCACCGGGGAACGCGTGTTCCTGGAGAGAGGGAAATCCTGACTCGTCTCGCAGCAATTTATAAAGAAAAAAGTCTGAGAGACCAGAGACCCAAGGTTAGATGGATGACGAGGCCACCCATGTATCCAGGGTGGAGAGAACAAAGACCTATAGGGGTCAGGCAGGTGCTGGTGGTGGGTGACACGGACCAGGTAGGGGACCCTTCTGGCATCTACTTTGATAGAGCACGGGAAGAAACAAGCAGCCAAGATGGAGAAAGCAGCCCTGCAAGGGGGACGGTGGTTGGCAGTTAAAGCACCAGCCAGGGCTCTGGAGGGAGGGGAGGAAGGGGCAGGCCTCCTCACCCAGCTCTGCTGGACCTGGTATTTGCACAAGAAGCCAGAAATTAAAAGTTGCAACGGGAAAATATTTTTCAAGGACAGAGACTGATACGATTGATAAAATATCACAGGCCGTGTTTCATACTGGCCCATGAGCCTCCAACTGGCAGTGGCATCAGGCAGGCACCTGCTCGTTCTTTCCAAGAAGGACCGCACAGAATAAGCGAACTGGGTTCCTGTGTAATTGTGCGGTTTCTGACTCTCAAGGGAACGTGAACTGATTGAGAACCGGAACTCATAGTGGCTTCTGAATTTACTCCTGGTGTTCCAAAGGAGGAGCGAGAGGTGCCAAACCACCGGCCATTCGCCAGAACACTTCTCCTCTGTGCCTTTCATATCCTGAGCTCTCCTGGTGGCCGGGGTGCAAGCCAGCCGGGGACAGGTACCTAGCCCTGAAGAATCGGATGTGATCTCATAGATTCTCCAGATCTGGAATATTCCCGAACATAAGACCCTCAGCAGTCTCTGATGCCCTTTTAACCTTAAATCTTTTTTTTAAATGTTCATGAGGGAGTACACATACGTGAACGGAGAGGGCCGGAAACCGAGACAGGATCCGAAGCAGAGAGCACAGAGCCCGACGCGCGGCTTGAACTCGCAAACCTTGAGATCATGACCTGAGCTGAAATCAAGACTCAGATGCTTAATCAGCTGAACCACCCAGGCGCCCCTAACCTTAAATCTTGAGAATCTTTTAACTAAATGTCTTAATACAATCTTAATGCCTCCACCCTGAAGATAAAGAAGTCCTCTTTCCAGAAATGAAAGTTCTTTCAGGGAAAAAGCCATGTTTGAGATCATTTTACATGCCTGATAATCGTACCTGGCGTTTAAGATTCTCGGCAAATATTTGTCGTGCCAAGTCGTGTAGTTGAGTTTATATTGTAGAACAGTGTAGACCTAAAAGACGTAGGAGACACCCACCCATGTCCACAGATCCAGGCTAAAACTTGGAAGTTCATGCATTCGAATAAATCCCCTGCCCACCCACTTTTTTTTTTTTTTTTTGGCTGTGGTTTCCTAACGAATGCAGAAAAATTCCCATTGTTGGAAGGTTCTGCTTAGTTGGGTACCCGTCAAATGATTTCCTTAATTTATAATGGAAAGTACTATTATCGTGGCCATCATTACTCAAAGGCCAAAGTAGAAAAGGATGCCTCCTGCACCCTCAAATACGGCTTTCATCCTGTCCGATGCAGGCTGTCCTCTGGGCCGCCCTCCAAACCCTCCTTCGGTCCGCCTCTGTCCCCTGCCAGCACTGACAGGGGGAGCTTCCTGGTCTTGAGAGCAGTGAGGGCCATGGCTTTCGCCTGTCTGCCTTTCCCTGCCGGGGGACGGCGGGGAGGAGGGGGCAGTCTGCCACCCCCCGGGGTTCTCTCTGCCACCTCCATGGCCACAGAGCACCCTGACAGTCACCTCCACATCCCAAGGCCACTGGCTTCCAACTCCACCCTCCCAGACACCCACCCGCTTGCCCCTCAAGAGGCAACCAGTCCTGAGGTGCCAGACTGTCCGCGTTCAAATCCCGCTCCGACCTCGGAGCGGCTCCGCCGCCCTCCCTCAGCCACGCAACCTCTGGGCACTCAATCTCCACTTCTGTAAAATGGGAATGCCAACACCAGCCACATCCTAGCTATTAAAAGATCAAGTGGAAGCTGGCACATCAAAAGTGCTTGAAACAGATCGTGCTCAGAGTCCGTGGCCGGCTTACCTCAGCCCTCAGTCACTCGAAACCCATCTACCTCCAAGGAACCCAGCTGTGAAATTCCCCTCAAGACCACAACTTTCTCTCTCACTAGCCAGGGGCAGACCTTCGTCTCTGCAGGGATCCCCCGAGACTCCTGACCTCTCCATATCAAGCCCGCCCCCCCATCCCTCCATTTCACCGAAGAACCTTCTCCATTCCTCAGCTTGAACAGGTAGCTCTTTCCACTCGCTCGGTAGGCGACCCTCAGCAGGCCAGACCCAGAGGAGAGGAGGAGGAGGAAGGGAGAGGAGAGGAGGGGAAATGAAATTGCTTCAGGTGTGGTGGGGGGCAGTCCTTATGGGCGTGTGTTTTAGCGTAAATCCATGTTCACAGTTCACAGGAGGGGATGTGGAAGGTTCTCGGCCCGGAAGGCGCATGCAAGCCACCTGAGGAAGCATAAAGGTGTGCGCCAGGCTACTACCCCCTCCCAGGGCAGGCGGGGCCGGGCCTGCAGCGCAGCCCAGACCTGAATTTTGCAAAGGAAAAGCACCACTGTACCCTGGACTCATAAACTCTGGCCCAGGAGCCCAATCTGGCCCACTTCCTGTTTTGTAAGTAAAGTTTTATTGGAACACAGCCACGCTTACTCATTCGCTAGCCTGCCAAGTCGACAATGTTCTTACCCAGAAAGTATGCCAGCCTCTGCCCCAGACCGGCATGAACAATGATGATACTGGGCGCTATTCAAAACAAATCAAAATAGGGGCGCCTGGCTGGCTCGGTGGGTTGAGCATCTGAGTCTTGATTTCGATTTCGGCTCAGGCCAGGATCCCGGGGTTGTACGAGCAAGCCCTGCGTCGGGCTCCACGCGGAGCAGGGAGCCTGCTTGAGATTCTTATCCTCTCATTCATATTCTGTCTCCCTCCCTCTCTGTTCACTGGAGAGCTCATGCTCTAAAATAAATAAAAGTGAAAAAAATTTTTTTTTCAACGTTTATTTATTTATTTATTTTTTTTTTTATTTTTGGGACAGAGAGAGACAGAGCATGAACGGGGGAGGGGCAGAGAGAGAGGGAGACACAGAATCGGAAACAGGCTCCAGGCTCCGAGCCATCAGCCC